TCCGGGAGACAAGTCAGTAAATTCGAGTAAAATCACAGGCTTTGCTTATCCCGTGTGAATGCACCACACGAAATTCAGATGTGGGGGTGGGGGGGTAATTTCAAAATCACACAAGGTCCCCAGATAATACTAATCCCATGCGAATAGGGCTTAAGACTATTAAGCATTTTCGTCTCAAGATAAAGACTAAGACTAAATCAAAAATGCCTGTCAAAATTAACACTGGTTGGAATCGGACGAAAAATGGCTGAGCTACACTTGTTTGAAGTTGGTAGAGTCGGCAAAGTCAATTTTGAGAAAAATCGAGTTCAAGTTTTCTGAAGGTTCCAAAGCAAAATCACCTGCAACATTGCATCTTTTCCTCCAGTTCTTTTTTTAATAATAATTACTATATTAATAATCAATATAGCTATTTTTTATTTTAGCTTTGTTATTATAAATAATAGATGCAAAAAAAGAAACAAATAATGCATTACCTTTTTAATTTTACATCTAAACAAAAGCATTCAAGAAAAACAAATAATCAAATGTAAAAATCCCTTTAGTGTGTTCATTACAAATAAATTGATTATCAAAACTACAAAAGCAGTTCAATCAAGAGCAGTGAGTGATTCCCTCTTTTCTTTTATTGTTAGATAAACATTAATGCGACAGACGGCCTCTATATTAAGACCTACTGTAACGCACAGATCTAATATAATGTTACACATCAGATGTTTTTCCCCAACAGTTACCCAAACGTTCACTTAAGCCTAGGGCTGCACGATAAATCGCATGCGATATTTAACGCGCATCTTATCAGTTAAGCCGGTTCTGTAATCAGCGGTAAATCTCCATCATGTGCGTGCTTTCACATTGAGCAGCATTAACTACACAGACCCGTTGTTCACTGACGAGCTGCGCAAAACCACGTTCATATTCGCGCGATTTTTTGCGCTGCTCGTCAGTGAACAACGGCTCTGTTTAGTTAATGCTGCTCAATGTGAAAACGTACAAATAAAGGTAATTAAACATCTAAAATTATTGTTTGGCGCATTGGGATCGTGAGACGAGGGCATAATGAACTCAAGTTTGTGAAAACCTCAAAATCAACATTTTTCACTTCTTTTGCCTGTAGCTAGGGCTGTGCAAAAAATCAAATGCGATTTTCATGCGCATCTCGTCAGTAAAGCCGTTTCTAATGATTAGTAGTAAATCTCCAGCACGTGCTTTCAGATGGAGCGGCCTTTACTACACAGAGCCGTAGTTCACTGACAAGCAGACGAGATTCGCATGAAAATCACATTCGATTTTTTGCCCAGCCCTACCTGTAGCTCAAAATTTGTCCTTGCGCATTCCGACTCATTTTGCCAGCACAGGTCACATTTTGAGCTTGTTCATGTTTGCTGATTTTTTATGGCATCTGGCAACACGAATGCATAAGATTTGTACCTCTTTCCTTGTGATTTTCTTGCACTGCACATTCAGAAGTGAGACACATCTCTGATGCGTGTTTAAATACATCATTAATAACTAGTTGTTCAGTTCAGTTCTGTACACACTGCATCCAGTTGTCACTTCCTGAATTTATCAGGAGTTAATTTGTTTGTATAATGTAGTCGTCATTCCTGTAAATTACTCAATACTCTGTGTGTGTACGGAACAGGATTGAGCACTAAAAGGATTGAGCAATGAATTTAGCTGTAATGTGTACATGGCCTTCAAGTAAGAGTTTAGAGGGAAATACAACATATTACAGTCAGACGTCAAATGTTCGGCAACAAATCTCTACACCTGGACTGCAGTGCTCCGGATTATGTGTGACGCGCACTAGCGAGGGTCTCACAGAGGATGGATGAACTGCCTTTAACTGAAAATTGAGTGTTTACTATTGTCACTTCGCATCATTGACACAATATTTTCCTAATTAATGCTGTACAGTTGCTTTGACACAATCTGTATTGTTAAAAGCGCTATATAAATAAAGCTGACTTGACTTGTATGTATTTGTGTTTGTGTGTGAGTGTGAGTGTGTGCACCCAGGGTCAGTCGAGCACTGATGTTATTGATCTGAACTTTTGGAGCTCATGAAGATGACGCTCTGGAGTGATAATAGACAGGAGGATCATGACAGACTGAGTTCTGATGTCTGATGAGAAAGTGCAGTTAGACTCAGAGCTGAGAGAAGAAAGACAGATATACACACGCACACACACACACACGCGCGCACACACACACACACACACACGATGCGCAAAACTCC